GAAGTGCTAGAATAAGAGAAACTATGATGATGAGTTTGAATGGGATGTTGAAGAAAATATGGACATGGATTTTCAATAAGATGGAGAAACGTATATGCTACTGTTTTTGTTTTTCTTCCCACACAGAGTTTTCAAAGCATCATAGTTATCTTTGTGACAGATTTTATTATGTATTGTAGTGTAGTTTGAGTAATTTAAATTGTACTCTAAGGATGTTTTTACTTGGACTGTAATTTGCTGGTCTGGTCTGACTGGTCTGGTCTGGTCTGGTCTGGTCTGGTAAGGTCTGGTTTCTTTGTATTTTTATAACTATCCAAGTCTGGTCTGGTCTGGTCTGAACTGGTCTGGTCTGGACTGGGGCAAATTACAGTCCAAGTAAAAACATCCTAAAAGCTATAAAATGATGTTGCAGGGACCATGTTGATGAAGATCAAACTGATGTTGTGCAGTTTGGGATTTCCGTGTATTTCAATGTCTCTTGTAATCAGGGTGTATTGACATTTGGGGACTATTATGTTTTGTATTACTCTAGAAGTTGGTTTAAACCCTTGTAAGCTCATTGTGAAGTTTTAATTGATTTAATTTGCAGTCATAGCTTATTAGTTATTACTTATTAAATTATTATTATAATACGTAAAATTCAATATGTTTAGTATGTTTAAACTTTATTTGTTTAATGTAATATCAATGAAAATTACTAATACATATGAATTCCAGATGGTCGCTTGAACACGTTGGTGATAGAATGTTGCAACATCAGGACTTTCTCCCAATCCTCGGACTACATCTACAGTAAATGAGTCTATGGAAGTTCTAGCATGGTCACGAAGACCTACAACTAACTCTATTGTGTCTGTGTCCTAGAAGATTCAAAACATTTTGGAGCAGAGTTACGAGACACAACATGATCAATGAAAGTTCAGTGGTGTGTCATTGTGGACCAGTATAGTCAATATCACACGCCTCAGAAGAAGATGGTGATAAAAGATGAGGCTCCCCGTGAAATGTGTTGAAACATTTATCTGTTGGGAGATAGATGGGTGGTCTGGGGGTAGGTTTGTGCATGCGCCATTGGACAAGATGCAATGACTTCTACGCGGTATCTGATTAAATGAGTCATGTACCTATGGGGTTGTCCTGGGTTTTTGAGTGACTAGTATTGATTACTTAGTTGATAGTATAGTAGACGATGCATATGAGTCATTGATTTACGCTTCCCTACTCTCACAATATGCACTCGTGTTTGAACTTGTCCCATGGATATGCTCAATTGGATTTGACTAAGCCATCGAGACTTATCACTTGTTGCTCTTCACCACCACCCCTCCTCAACAGGAGCACTCAGTAGATTGTATTTGTCGTTGTTCGGCACTGGGGAGAAAAAAATGACCCCCCCCAAATGTGCAACATTGATCATCATTTGGTGCTAAGAGGAAGTAAAGTGGTTCCTCCTCAGAATGTGCAAGAGTTGTTTTTCGCCGCCGGAGAGTAAAGTAAAAAACTCACCCTTGAAGTGTGCTTTCTTCATTGTTTAGCACCAGGAGGAGTGAAAAAGAAACACTCCCTCTCATAATATGCACGAGTTGATTGCTCAACAACTTGTCTTCATACTGTCATGTGTCATGTGTGTGGAGTAGTCAAATCAGGTACCACACATGGCATACAAATTAAACTAAACAAATGGGCCCTAATATAAAGTTGGCCCAAACTAATGAGCTAATACAATTAAATACACAAATACTAGTATAAACATAGTGAATATGATTGGACATAATCACATAATATATTATTCCTAATATAAGATTGTCTCATCTTTCCTTTCCGATCTGTCCCAGTAATATTGTGTCATACCAAATTTGATAAAGTTTAAGTCTCTAAATCATTCTACTTTATTCTTACTTTATCAATTCAATATCAACCACAAAAACTCATTTTTCTTAATAACCGTACTAGCACTTCATATTCCAATGTTGGTGGGACGGAGGTAGTAGCTAGATACATAAGATACTGAGTACTACATATTAGATATTTTGCAGGTGTGAACCACATATGTTTTTTATATATTGTTGGACATGTGGTTTAGTTTTTATTACTCACAAATCACAATAGATTCTCCCATTTTGGTCTACACAAAATATTGTAGTTTAACTATTGTAGGAAACTAATTGTTACCTTTGATGTTTGTTTGGTCTGCACGTAAGATTAAAGGTTCAAAAACAGTCTAAGATAATATGCATTTTTTTTAAATACCATGTCAATTAGGGTAAAATTGGAACGGAAAAATCAGGTTCGGGCCGGTCTGGACTGATTAGTATCAGGTTTAGATCTTCGATCTAGTTAAAATGATGATTCTAGTTACGATTCTAATTGATTCCGGTCCAGTCCAGTTTTTGACCGGTGCATGCCCCTGGTCCCTTGTGAGTGATATCTCTTCTCCCGTTCCACATGTTCCTGCTTTAATTGAACAACATTGTGAGGCTGGTGATTCTTCTTCTTTGTAGTTGGGACATGGTCAACGCGTTCAGTACCCTTAAGTTAAACTCCGCATTTAAGTTACTCATATAGTTGTTCGGAATAATCCACCATCAGGTACTCTCTTTCCTGTAGCACATTATATGAATTGTGATAGTTGTTTGGAATAAAAACCATCAGAGATTTCTTTATACTATCACCACATGTGTTGAGCCTCGAACCTTTGTAGAAGCCATGAAGGATGATGCATTGCGCCATGCCATTCAGTCCAAAATTAAATCTTTTGAAGACAATGGTACCTGGACTTTGGAATCTTTACCTACTGGTAAGCGTGCTTTGGGTAGTCGCAAGGTGTATAAAAGTAAGTATAACTCTGATGGGGTCATTGAGCGGCTCGAAGAACGTTTAGTTGTTCTGGGTAATCACCAAGATGAAGGAATTGACTATATTAAGATGTTTGCTTCTGTGACTAAAATGGTCACAGTTCGTGCTTTCTTGAAAGTGGCAGTTGCTAAAAACTGGGAGCTACACCAAATAGATGTATACAATACTTTTCTTCATGGTGATCTTCATGAATTTAATAAGTTTACATGAAGTATCTTCCCAATTGTCAGCCTCCTGATTCTCCTAATCAGTTGTGTCGATTACGAAAATCTCTTTATAGTCTCAAGCAGGCACTTCGTTGTTGGTTTATCAAATTGGTGGCCTGGGAGCACTCAAAACGTATGGTTTTATCCACTCTTATGATGATGATACTGTATGTATCTATTTTAGTGAATACTATCCAAATAAATGTTTTAAATTATGTGGATTATCTAATATTTGGTAAAAATTTTGCCCTTGACTTCAAATCATACTTGAAAAAATGTTTTCATATGAAGGATCTAGGTGTTTTGAAATATTTTTTTGGATATTGTGGCGGTGGGAAGTGCTATTGATTTATTTTTAGGCCAGTGCAAATACATTCTGGATATTATCTCTGAGGCTAGTCTTTTGGGTGCCAAGTCGGCTACTTTTTCTATTGAACAGAATCATTCACTCGCATTTGCCTCTGATGCTCTTCTTCATGATCCGGAAACCTAATGTACCGTCGTTTGGTGGATCGTCTCATTTATATTGATGTTACACGATCAAATTTGTCTTATTATTTCATATTTTGTCTCAATTTAGGCAAGCACCTCGTACAAAGTATTAGTTAGCTACTTTACATGGTGTACATTATTTAAAAGGTACACCCAATCAATTGATTTACTTCAAGCAAATTGTGATCTTTCCTTAACAGGTTGGTGTTATTCTGATTGGGTTGTTTTCCTGCTTACTCGCTGGTCTATTTATGGTTGTATGGTGTTCTTGGCCTCTTGGACATTCTCCTATCTCTTAGAAAACCAAGAAACAAGTTAGTGTTTCCAGCTCCTCTGCTGAAGCAGAATATCGATCCATGGTTGCTGCTGCTACATGCGAGCTAAAATGGTTAAAAGGATCGTTGCTTAGTTTGGGTACCCATCATCCTCAACCAATTCCTTTTTTTTTGTAATAATAAATCTACACTTCACATTGCTCAAAATCCAATTTTTCATAAGCGTATAAAGCATGTCGAGATGGACTGTTATTTTCTTCATGATGTTGTTCTTGATAGTCTTATTACACCTTCTTATGTCCTTATGATGGTTCGATTAGCGGATTATCATGACTTTAGGAAAGAATTAGTTTTAGGTTTTACTTCACGAGTTAATTTCCATATGTCCACTTGAGGGATATTGACGGGTATAATTACATCACACACATGCAATATTTGTTTTGTAATGGGACTTTTACTTTTACTTCACATGCATGCGTTAGTTTTCAATTTGACTTTTACTTCTTACCTCTATACCATAATATCTTCCCACTTTGAAAGTAGATGAAATTATGAAAGTAAAACGCGATATAAATTATTGAGAGTATTATTTGCAAAATTATTTAGGGTATGATAGAAATATATAGAACTAAGAAGATTATTTAGTTATGATTGAAAAAAAAAAGTGGAAAGATCTTTTTGTTAGGAAGAAGATAGCTTTGTACTTTGTATATCAAAACAAGGTTTAGGATGTTTTGGATTGAATTTATTTCAGTTCAAACCGGACCATAGTGGTAAAATACAATTGTCTAGCCGTCTTATGCTCTTCACTTATATCTTATAAAAACATAACCTAAACGCTACGGTTATGCATATCAAAGAAGATATCCCATGCCTGTTTTGGTTGAGTCCACAAAAATCGTTCCGAAATGATTGGTGATTTGAAGAAAGTGATTCATTTAGAGCCGTTTCATATTACTGAAATTGGCTAAATCGATTGATTCCGCTAAAATTATAAAGTTCCGCCTAAATGATGGATTGGCTGATTCTACTGAATTATGAAAAATTATATTTAAAATATATTTTATTACTAAAATTAAAAAAAAAATGTATGAAAAATAGTTAAAATGGTCCTCTAGAGTAACTTTGGTCAATCCAACCAGAAGAATAACTCCAACCTCACTTATTATAGTTTATACGCAACTCAGCGCATGAAATAAAAATTACGTTTTTAGTGAAAAAGTAGGTTGATAAGTTGAAGAACAGATCTAAAATGAAAGGTGTTCAATGTGATTTGTTTGGAAGAACATCATCTATTCCAAAAGATGAATATTATTACCCCTAAATGACACATTTGTATTACGTAGTATAATTTAATTTACTCATTTTTTTGTATAACTAAGATGTAGTTCTGTTCATCCGATATGAATGTTTTTAGTCTGAATTTTTTAAGATTTGGTCGGATCTGATTTAAATTTTTCTGATGTAGTCTGTTCTGATCTGAATATTTCTGATTTGATATGAATAAAATAAGAATAAACCATAAGTATAAGGAGAATGGAACCACTCCTTAGACTAAACGAAATCAAGTTTGATAATTATTAAAGAAAAATGATCAATGCTTATAATATTTTATTTATAGACGTTATTGGAATGCAAGGATGTGGATATAGCCTAAATGAAAATTTTGAAAATCTGTGTTGAAATCCCGAACCAAGGCAAAGATTAATAATGCAATATGGATTACTTTAGAGAAAACTGTCAAATAAGCTCCCGTGATATATCAGAAAAGTCAATTAGGTCCTCGTACTTTGAAAACATCCGATCAAATGCTAGAACTTCTAAAACTCGTTCAATTGAGCGTTTTAGCAGCTCAAGAACCGATTTCCCGGTTAACTGCTCATGTGACGGCCACGTGGCAGGTTATTATTATTTTTTCTTATCTTTCTCCTTTTTCGTTTTCCTTTCTTTTTTCTCTTTCATTTTCTTTTTGGGTTTCCGTCTTCGCACTTCTCATAGGCAGACTTCCGCGTCTAACGTTCCCCATTTTCCCTATCTTCCCGCGAACCTTACTTCCCTGTCGTCACTCCTCTTTCTCTTTGTTTTTCAATCTTCCTTTCTTTATTTCTTTCTCTCTTTGTTTCTTTGTTTCTATTTTTCCATTTGCATAGAGGAGAGAGGGTGTCGTCGTCGGAGTTGCTACTAAAGTTCGCTGGAGATTATGGCAAAAACAGTCACGTTTGCTCTGGACCTTCGCGATTCAGCGGAAGTAGTCGCCTGGGCTTACGACAAAGCCGCCAAGGAGTTCTAAGGAACCAAGACAATTTTTTCAGTACCGGATCGGAGGATCTCAACTTGATTCTCGAGGTTCGAACAAGACGAGTCGTGTTTTGCTCTTGACCTTGAATATGGCGGAGGAAGCCACCTGGGTTTACAATATAGCCACCAGGGAGGAACCACGTCTCTTGTGGCAGCTAGGAAAGACCTGGGAGGCTGGGAAGATGGGGAACGATGGGTAAGTCTCGGGTAAGTCTGGGGAAAGGAAAGAGAAATAGAAAAGGAAATAGAAATGAAAAGGGAGAAAAATAAAGAAAAAAGAAAATAACCGCCATGTGGCCTGCCACGTGGCTGCCATGTGAGCATTAATCGGGAAAATCGGTTCTTGACTTGCTAAAACGTTCAATTGAACAGTTTTTAGAAGTTTGGGGGTTTAATGATGTGTTTTCAAAGTACGAGAACGTAATTGACTTTTCTGATATCGTATGGGGACTTATTTGACAATTTTCTCATTACTTTATTATCCCAATGTTGAAATCAAGCTAGACAAGAGAGAATTCCCTAAATAGGAGTAAAAAGACGTTTTGAAATTACAAAATAGGATTATCATGTTTTTTATATCCTGAATAGGAGTAAATTTCTGTCAAGTTTGTCATTACTAGATTTTAAACATGACACTTTTTTCAAATTTGACAGCTTACTCCTATTCAGTGAATAAAAAACATGATAGTCTTATTTTGGAATTTCAAAAAGTTTTTACTCCTATTTAGATCAATTTTTGTTTTTTTTGTTTGCACACTTGTCATCCCTTCATGTTTACTTTAAGATGTTTTGTTTGTTTAATGATCCAAGTGAATTTTATTTAATACGTGCTCACCAATTTTTTTTATTAAATTAATAAATTCTCCAATTATCATGGATCCAAAAAACTTTTGGCCTTTTTTATGAATATAACTAATATACGTGCAAAAGACAAAATTGTGATTCGTTTTTAAGTTTTCAAAAAAAATGTAACTTACCATATCAATTATGCTTTATTTAATATTGCATTTATTATTATGATATTCCATTCGTATAATTAAATTAATTCATGTTTTGTAGTCGCCACCGCCTCCGCCATCATTGTTGCTGCACAAGCACCACCGCCGCCGCTACGGTGACATCATCGTCCAGTGACTGTCACTGCAACATTTAGTGACTTCGTTGCCCTACCATCTCACTGACTCGGTTTCCGAGCATTGTCCAATGACTGTCATCCCGTTCTGTTCAGTGAGTTCCTGCTTCATCCAGTGGCACCAACACTCCTGCTTAGTGATTATGTCGCCCCAAACAGTGACACCCATATATAGTGACTCCAACCTTCTTCAATTCATTTCCAGCAGTAGTAACTCTCCTCACTACTAAATCCGACCAACACTCTTCGTCCAGAGATTCAAGCCCTAACATAAGCGAATCTGCCCCCGGCTCCCCTGCAACAAAAAAATCTGAAAACACAGTTTCTTGCCTTCAAACAACAACACTGACGAAGACGAACGATCTAGGGCTTCAAATTTGGATCTCAACGGCGGCGGCGACGTTTTGGGAAAAGAAGAAAGGAGAAAAGAAGAGGAGTGGAGTTGTTGTGGCGGCGACGTGTGGGCATAGCAGCACTGTGTCGATGACCGTCGATTCACAGGCGGAGGCAATACGGAGCTGATCGACGATTTTACTATGTGAAGCTTCGGTGCGGTACTAGACGGAGCTAGGCAGCGGTGCGAGATTGCTTTCGGCGAAGCTAGGCAGTGGTGCAAGATTGTTGTCGGCAAAACTAGGGTCGATATCGCAACAAGAAAGTTGGGAGCTGGAGGTGAAGCTATGGTAGGAGCTTGTAGGCTTAGGGTACTGGTGATTAGAGAAGATGGCCATGGATCAGAGACGAAGGCTTGAGGTAGGCGGCTGATATTGCAGGAGGCTAAAAAAGATACGATATCAGCTATGGTTAGGGGCGCTTCGGCATATTCATTCCTTATATAATCACTTTTCTGTCTAAATTAAAACCTAGTCATATATTTGTCCATTCAAACTCTAGGAGCAATATCCTAGTCATTATTTCAAATCTTTTAGCAATAAGGCTTGGTTGTTGTTGAAATAAATTCTCCAACATTTTTCCTGAGGAATGAACTAGCTACAAGTTACACTTTTACTCTGATTATGGTGGCAATCACACGTACCAGTCATTGAGTAGTGGTTTAGCTATCGAGACAGACACTTTTAGGGCTCCAAATAATGTAACAATAACACTTAGGTCATTCAGTTACCAATTTACCATACTCAAGTACGACCAATAAAACTGCTAATGTTACAATACTTACAATAGTAAGAGGAGTAAAAGTGAAAAAACATTCCCTATAGTATCTATGTTACAATAGTCAAAGAACTACAGTTGAAAAAATTCAATAGGCTATAGAGCATGTTAGAGGCAGAACTATCATAATGCATGAGAAATACTTAAGAAACCTCAAGAGAGCCAACCTGGTGAGCTAGAGATAGTACTTTTGGAGCATGCACTTAACATAGTGCAGCAAGTTCCAAGACCTCAGGAAAACCAACAATCCCAGCAACGCTGGTAGTCCATGAAGACAAGTCGCGCTTTTGGAGATGCACGAGGGAAACTCATCAACTCCCTAGCGATCTTGAGAGACACGGAGGCGTTAACATTACACGAATCCATAATAACAAGTTCCTCAAGCACAGGAGATTTTAGGAGGATTGATTTAACGTAGTGCATTTCCTGTTTGTACCCGTGAAATGGTCGTATCTTTACTGTTTTAAGCATGACAAGATCCTTAACAATTATAAAGTCTTCGTCGGGAGGATCCTCTGAAAGACTCACAATTACATCTTCTGAACTTCTCTGCACAAGAGGAAAAAAGTTAGAGAAGCCAAAAACCAATGAGAAATCTGGATTAAAAATGTATCACAATCACTAGAACCATGTTGGCGACATACACCATCTATTCTCAGATCCATTAGCTTTGGGCATTTTTGAAGAAATTGGAGAGCAAGGCAGACGTCCTTCTTGCAAGCAAAACTAAATCCACGCACCTTAAGTATCTCTAAATTAATAGCAATGGGGAAAACCGGCGAGGTAATGGCATCAGATTTAACCTTTAGATAAAACAAAGAACAAGAGTTAGCCTAGAAATAAATCAACAACAAAAAAGAAAAAAAAAAGTGCCAATATTTCTAGGGGAAATTGCTATTACCCCATTAAGGTTAAGTCTATTACAACCGTCTGTTTCCAAAAGTCATTTAATTGTCCTTTCAGTAAGAATTATCTCGCAACTTCATCGTTCCAAGAGTATGATGCTACTATTAAAGCTAACGAAGGTTGCCTCAAATATACGCTTTTAAAAGTAAACACATTTTCTTTCATCATTATAATATGTCTGCGAGAAACACATATAAAAGATTAACAAAGAACAACCTTAACTTATAATGATGAAAGGATATTTAAATCTGACTAAATGGAGTCAAATACGATAAATTTTGACGGAGTGGAGAAGTTGCAAAAATATAAACCTGCATTGACTAATTGATTTTGAAAATGAGCGGTAACTTCCATTTTTTTGTTATTGAATTTTTTTCATTTTTAGTCCCCGACTCGTTCTCTTAATGACACTCTTACCTTCCACTATAGTGACGTAAACAATTCCAATTGTGTACCATTCTTTGAACTTTTACAATTTTAATCCCCTGGCATTGTAAAATGGCACTTTTGATACTCATCTTTCAATTTTTGCATAATAGATTGAAGAGCAAATGTGTCTGTGTGACCATTGATGGAATGAGATACCATACTTCCATAAGTGTCTTTGTGATGATATGTAAGAACTACGCCAAGAAAAAACCAAAAAACGAGTATCAAAAGTGTCTAACTGATGCAACAGTCAAGTGATATAGTGCCCGTTTGGTAGCCATGAATTTTGGCTTTTCAGGCTTATAAGACAATTTTTTCGCCAAACGCGTAACTTTTGGTTTTATGGGCTGAATTGTGTAATAATAAGAAAAAGTAAGGTTGGACTTACTTTTCTGACCGTATTGGCTGAAGTTATTGTAGATGACCATTTTAGTTATTTTTTCATATAATTTTTTCTTTGTTTTATTAATAAAATATATTTTAAATTATTATTTTTCACAAATCATAAGAATCAGCCAATAGTGCCACGCTACCACCTCATCCAAAACTTCATAAATTTCGGCAGGATAAGCCAATGCAGCCGATTTGGCTATTACCAAACCAGCTCTTAAAGTGTAGAACACTCTTTAGTTTAGTTTGATGACAATGTAGTGAAATTATACTTCCAGACTCACCCAAAGAGGATCAGCAGACAGGTAAAGAGTCTTAACTTGTGCCAGATGAAGGGCATAACATCCCCATTCATCAGTCACACATGGAAAAACATCAACACCAAGGCCTTCAAGTTTCAGAGCATTAAACACAAAATTATTGGTCCCATCACAAGGACATAAAACCAGCTCCTCAAGATTAGGAATACTCGAGACGGTTCCGCGAACATTCGGCCTAAACTCCACACCATCAAAAACTAATAGCTTGACCGCGGGAAACACAATGCGGGGACTAACGGGGCAATCAAGAAGGAAACCCCTGAGGACGAGTTGCCTTATAGTCGGGCAGGAGAGTATACAATTCGGCAGAGTATATTGCAGACCGGGAAGTGTAATCGAGATCTCAAGTTCCTCAATCCCCTTCCTTGACAGGAAAAGACACCACCGGTCCAGATCAGACTGCTCCGGGATAGGATCATCCCAATGGTGAATCTGAACCTCAAATTTGTTGACTTGACCCGCCCGGAGCATGAGAACATTGTTAATTGTGTTTATGGGGCCTACGCCGCCGCGGTGACAGCGGTTTGATCGGAAAAAGCTGAAGAAGTCCGTACCAAACAGAAGCTGCCCGTGATGATACCAAACATCTTTCCAACTGGTTGAGAGAAGGGCAGTTCTGGCAGCGTCTTGAATGGGCAAGAACTTCAAAATTAGGTCCTTTGCGTCTGCCGGAAGTTGACTTATTAGGTCGGTTGCGGGTTTTCTTCTACGCCGCCGATTACCCATCAGAAAGAACTCAAGAAGTCGGAACGAGGTTAATTGGACAGTGGATTAGATTTGAGCTCTGCCTCGTACACTCTCTAACCGACCGGTCGTACTTTCTCTGTTCAAACCTAATTTTTCCTGACCCTTTTTAACACGTGACTCACTTATTTTCGATCAGTAATCTTTCTTAGATAAGATTCCCTAACATTGAAATTTTGGCTTAAGTGTCTGATTTTATTGATTTATGAAAAAAATTATATTTAATTAAATTTTATTAATAAAATAGAGAAGAAAAGGATATATGAAAAATGGTTAAAATGGTCATCTACAGTAATCTTAGTCAATACAATCAAAAAAGAAAATTCAACCTTACTTTTTCTTATTACTCGTATTACATAATCTGCGTGAAATCAAAAGTTATGTGTTTGGTTAAAAAGTTGGCTGATATGTCTGATAAACCGAAAAACAAAGTCACCATACAGATGTTCATATTGAAATATAATCTCTGTATTTTCAACATATTGAAATATAATCTTTGTATTTTCAAGTGTGTAAATGTCATGTCACAGTTGTCTAAATTGTTATTAATGTGGTCTACGCTCAGATTGTAAATGTTATTTCTGGACCACATCTACAATAACTTGGACAATTGAAAGATGACATTTACAAACCTGAAAAATAAGGGGATTACATTTCAATATGGTACTAATTGAGAGACTGAAAACACGATTTCCCCCTAAATTTGTTACTCCGTATAATATTTTCTCAAGATAATACTAACATCATTAATTGATCGAGTTGAATTTAAATATGTAACCTCTTAAAAATTGCATCACCTCTACGTTTGGAAGCTCTAATCTTAATTATCTATCGTAGTTTCCCAAATTTTCTTCAATTTCCTATTTTTAATATTATATTATGATGCCATGGTAGTTTATTGATCTAGAAGATAAGTTGAATCAAAGCTATTGAGTATTACATAGTTATATTCATGTGTGTTTTACCTATTGATCAAATAGAGCTTAAAGAACAACTTTATATGGTGATATCTGAAGTGAGAACAAATGAAGTACTTTTGTCATGTAAAGTAGTGCATAGTTTTTAAAAAGATGACTAAGCTTATAGTTCACGGTTCTTTTCAATTGATATATCGTCTAATTGGATTGAATTAAGTGTTATGAGTTGTAACCGCCGCCATTGAAAGAGCATTGTTTGGTATGAAAATTATGAAGATGAATCTTTATAATAAGATGAGAGATGATTTTCTTATGAATTACTTTGTGTGCTATGTTAAGAGAGTATTCTTAGAAATATTGATAAAGAAACTATAATACAAAATTTCCAAAATATTAAAACTCATACTCCCTCCGGTTTTTAATAAACTTCACACTTTCCTTTTTGGGACAGTCTAAAATAAACTTCACACTTCCTTATTTCCTTTTTTGGCAAAGAAATCTACATCAAAACAGTGCCAAACAGTGTCTCAACAGTGCCAAACAGTGTCTCTACAGTGTCAAACAGTGTCTCAACAGTGTACTCTACAGTAAAGTCAAATTTCTTTCCTTATTTTGTGTGAAGTCAAACTATGAAAATTAAAAAAAGACCGGAGGTAGTATAATTTAATTACTCAAATTGATGTAGTTAATAGTTAGTTAGTATATACGAGTAATTAACTACTACGTTTTAGTGTTCAATATGCCTTCCTTTCACAAATCTCCAAGCCATGTCGTTGTAGTAATTTGAGAATACGTTGAAACAAAAAGTAAAGTAAAACTAAGGGTTCATTTGTTAGTTTATACATTAAAATTTTACATATAAAATGATTGCATGCAGTGTATGAGAGTGCTTTATAAGAACATACTTCGTATTTATTTTTAAATTTCAAGCAAATTCATCAGTGTGCTTTATAAAAAAACATCCAAAGTATTTTATCATCCTCATGTAAAATATTTTACATGATATAATGCAAAATGTTTAAGACATTGTCTTACGGTTTATGTAGGCTATCCCATCAAATGATGTAAAAGCACTACTCTATATTCTGTCAAACACTCTCTAATGGAGAGGAATGAATATATGTAGGACTACATTGGAGTGGCGAGAGGCGTAAATCTAACCCTAGTGCTAGGAATCCGCCCTCAAACCCAAAGACGCCAAACCCTACAGAGATGAGATTCGGCAATTCAATCTTGTCACTAAAACTCCAACCGTAGATGGCAAACCCTAAGATAATCACTATCCTAACAGTGACCTAGAATATCATTGGCTCTCACTAAAACCCCAACCGTAGATTGCAAACCGTAAGACAATCACTAACAATGACCAGAATACCAATGATCCACACTCATCCACTATTATTACCAAGCCTTCGTCGTAACCTTAATTTCTAGACTCGCCTCTGATCATATTCCTCTAACGATATGGATTTGGAGCTTATTAATTATCAGTTTCATTTGACAAAGGAAATTCACAAGGACACTTAAGGGTCATTGGGGAAGATGTGGGTGAGATTATTGAGGAGACGATCGCGGACACAAATGATAAATTATAGTCGAATAGAGTGTTTGCAGTGAGGAGGCAATCATTGATGTTATTCCTCTTCAGGTTTCTTTCATGGAGCAAAACATAATAAGGACATTGTGACTTTATTATGAAGTTTCTATTTTTGAATAATTATTAAATAAATATGTAATGAGGTCATATTGGGGGTATATTAGGCGTTTAAAAAATAAAATCAAAAAGTCGTTGTGAAAACCTACTCAAAGCGGATTTTTCGCATCAACGGTCAAATTTAAAAATGGTTTACCAAACATTAAAGATAAATGTTTGACATGGTCAAACAACCAAAGTCAATCCAAAAAGTCAATTACGGAGTAAGGCTTTGTTTGCAACCACTTCTGCTTAAATAAAAGCACTTTTGGGGAAAAAGTGATTAGTAGTGAAAGTTGGTAGTGTTTGGTAAAATAAGTGCTTTTTGTGTAATAGAAAAAGTAAAAAGTAGATTTTACACGGAAGCCGAGAAAGTAAAAGTTGATAGTGTTTGGTAAAATAATAGTTTTTTTCTTAAAAAAAAGTTAAAAGCACTTTTTAATGGGTTGCAAACAGACCCTAAATATGATTGATATGCTCTTTACCAAATATTCATTAGCTATACCTTTTTTCTTACTTTTTATTAATCTTAGTTTGTGCTTTGTAATTCTTCATCTTTACTTGTTTTAATAAATTTCAGTAGGTGTTTCCCGACCATTACCCCATCTATTTTGGCGATTTCTTTGAAAAATGTGTATTGATGTGATATTATAAAAAGAGAACAATAAATTGATCTAATTATAAATTAAATTTGTCATAAAACTATTATTTTGTTATTACAAAACTACTAAGAACTGAGTTTTTTTGCCAATACTAAGAATTGAGATAAACCTATTATATTATGTTGTTTACAAGCTAGGAATGTATATTACGTGTATACATTATTAAAATGACTTAATTTATATCTAAAGGAATGTAATTTTAAATTTTACAATACGTGCATTAATATGAAATTTTAAAATGATCAAAACACAAATAATAAATGAAATACAATACAACTGAAATGTAGATTCACTAGAATGTCATATATTTTTAATTAAACATGCACCGATACTGAATCAAAGTGAAATATTAATTAAAAACTCATTGATGACCTTTTTCGGTTTTTCTATGAATATTAATAAATTAAATTCAAAATACAAAAATATGATTTTTTAAATTAAAAAAATGACATATTCACTGACACATCATCTACCGGTAATTTGTCACTCTGAAACAGACCATAGTGACTCTTGTTCAATTACTCGTACGCAATGACTTAGTCATATAATTGTTCAAAAAAACATAATTAGTCATATTTTTGTCCAGATAAACTATGTTAGGATGGATGTATGGCATACTATCCTCTGTTCTCTTTTAATTGCAACATTCCCTTTTTCACGCTTGTTAATGCATAATTTTGACCGTCATTATATTTAATTCTATATTAGTAATAAAATTTAAAAATCAAATTATGAAACTTTGTAAGGAGACGAATTCAACAATATTTTTCAAAACAAATAATAATTCACATACATTAATAAATAAAATGTAGTCAAAGTAGAGTACATGAATAGTGTGTAAATTTTAATGTTGTAACTAATATGATACGGAGGGAGTATATCATTTGTCATTTGGATGTAGGATATACGAACTTTTACAACTAAATGTAATTCTAATCTATTTTTGTTATGGAATAATGACAAATATATGACCGACATAAAGGTAGTGACAAAAATATGACTTAGCTAGTGACCATCATAGTAACTTTAGTGATCATGATTGTGTTCAACTCTATCACTATAGTGACTATGCATAGTAATGATGTTTTCTTTTGGACTGAAATTTACTGGTCTGGTCTGGTCTGAGACTGAAAACAATCCAAAAGAAAACATCCTAACTATACTAATGTTTTTGTCATCACTACAGTGTCAAGTATCTTGTGGTTTGACGGAACCATTGTTGATTTCCCAAAGAGGAGGTCACAAGTCCGAGTTTCATCCCAATCAAGGATGTTGACATTAACGGGAGCAGATACTATAAAAGGTTTAGAAGGATTTGCAAAAAAAAAGCAAAGAAAAAGTAATATTTTGTCCATTAGTTATATTTCAGTAATATTTAAAGAAAAACTTCTTTCGTTATTATGAAAAAAACACCCTCTATATATGTCATATATTTCTTTTTGGACCGTTTCAAAATATTTGTGACATTATATTTTCATTTTTAGAAAAAAATCTACCTCAAAAGTAATTACAATACACTTTAATAAAGTAAACATGTATGCTACAATACAAAAAAACTTTTATTCTTAAAAAAAGTATACAATAAACTTATAATTTATCTTCAACTACGTAAAAAACTTACTCTCACACATAAATTCGGCGTATCAATCTAATGTGATTAAAAAATGAATCATACTCCTTTGTGTTATAGTTATTCATATACAAAACACGCGTTTATGAACAAATTCAATTGGCAAATAAAAGAAAAATATTTGTATTTTTGTATAATTTAGAAAAGTTAACAAAGTTATTTGCACATT